AACCCAAATGCCCATCAACCGGATACTGGATAAAGAAGATGTGGCTTTTTATAAAATGGAATACTACTCAGCCATGAAGAATGAGAAACTAGAAACATTTATAGCTAAATGGATGCACATTGAGGATGTACTCTTAAGTGAAATAAATAGGACACACTTGAGTAAATACCGAATAGTTTCTCTGGCATGAAAAACTAAAAGTATAAATAAGACTCAAATGGTATAATTGAGGGGCCAGGGATTTAGCTCAGTGGCACTGTGCCTGCCTCGCAAGCACAAGGTCCTGACTTTGATCCCCAGCACCAAAACCAAAAAAACAAACAAATGGTATAATTGACTTGAGAGGAACCATATCAAAAAAAAAAAAAAAAAGGTATAATTGAGAGTGTCAAATAGGAAGAAAATGGCTAAAGGAGAAGTGGGAAGAGGAGGGGAAATGAAATAAGGCAAAAGAAAAAATGTGAAAAAATGGAAACAAAGTCTTTGTGAATAGGGAGGAGTAAAGTGGGTGAAGGGAGGGCAGGGGGATGGGGAAAAATAAGAACCAAGATCTATCATGTAAAGGTATGAGATCCCAGTGTTGAATGTGACTATTGTTTGCCTTAAATGTACTAATAAACTTAATGGGAGGGGAAAAAAGCTGGGTATGTTGGCACATGCCTGTAATCCCAGCTGGTTTGGGAGGCTGAAGCAAAGGATCACTTAAACTTACGAGTTTGAGACCAGCCTGGGCAACACAGCACGATCTTGCCAAACAAAACAAAAACCTGAGACACTTCACCAAAGATACTCAGATGGGAAGTGAGCAAGCATATACAAGACACTCAATATGACCTGTCATCAGAGAACTGCAAATTTAAACAGCTCCCAGTGTTAGCTGCTCTCCTAGCATCTGTAGCCAGCAGCTCCCTGCAGCTACCAGCAGCTACCTGCAGCTCCCTGAAGCCCTCGAGCAGCCAGAGCCAGCAGTGCCTGGCAATTTCAGGCCTCTTACAGCAGCTCACTGCTCTCGGCACCCTCTGGTTGCCCTCGAGGTTAGCAGCCCCAGCTTCAGGCTGCTTTCTGTACAAAGGTCCTGCGGGTTCCCAGCTCTGAATGCAGCCAGCTCAGCCTGCTCTACTTGAGATGGAAATCATGACAGGCAAGATACAATCTGAAAGAGGCTTTATGAGCTCTTACACAGCCCTGTAATGGGAAGCAGTGCACTGGCTGCTTTCACCAGGCAGGAGGATGCCTGTGTGTATAGACCAAAGGGCTGTGTGTGTGTGCCACGTCCACCTGCCCTCATTGTCACGGTAGGAGGGGGCCCTTGTGGATCAGAGTAGAGGACAGAGGCATCCAGAGAGGCTCACGGTGGAATCATCCAGAGGTGGTCATGGGGCAACTGATGCAGCATCTGTAGCCCAAGCCAAAGTCTCCCTTAGACGACACAGGTATTTGGGGCAGCCAGAGCTGTTGATGACTGAAGACAGAAAAGGACAAAGTAATTCCAGTGGAACGGTGGGCCCTCCTCTTTGTCTCACTCCTACCACAGAATCCAGCCAGCACACTCTTTGGTATCCATACAACTGAGTCGAAAACATGTTCACACTAAAACCTGCACACACATTTACAGCAGTTTAATTTATAACTGCCAAATCTTGGAAGCAAATAAACTGTCCTTCAGTAGGTGACGGGTGAGTAAACTGGCTCATCCATATGATGGTATATCATTCAGGAATTTTATTTTTTGCAGTACTGGAGATCAAATTCAGGACCTTGGGCTTGGGAGGCAGGCACAGTGCCACTGAGCTAAATCCCTGGCCCACATTCAGCAATTTTTAAAAAATGAGCTTTGTGGCACATGCCTGTAATCCCAACAGTCCGGTAGGGTGAGGGGGGAGGACTGCAAGTTTGAATGTAGCCTAGGCATCTTAATGATTTAGCAAGACCCTGTCTCAAAATTTAAAAATTAAAAAGCTCAGCGTGAAGACCTTGGGTTCAATTCTCATTACTGCAAAAAAAGGACGGGAGGATAGTGGTGCATTTCTGTAATCCAGCATTTGGGAGGCTGAAGTAGGAAAATTATGAGTTCAAAACCATCCTAGGCTACAGAGCAAGTTCTAGGCTATCCTGGGCTTCAGAGTGAGACCTTATCTAAAAAGCCAAGAGAGGGCCAGGGATTTAGCTCAGTGGTTCCGCCACCTGCTTTGCAAGCACAAGCACAAGGTCCCAAGTTCAATCCCTGGTACCAAAAAAAAAAAAAGCCAAGAGACAAAGAAGAAACAGACAAAGAGACAGAGAGACAAAGAGAGCACTATCAAGTCAGGAAAAGACATGGAGTGTATTCAAATGCCTATCACTAAGAGAAGCTGGGTAGGCATGTTAGTGCTTATCTGTGATTCCAGCACTCAGGAAGCTGAGGCAAAAGAATCATGAGTTCAAAGCCAGCCTTAATTATATAATGAGACCCTGTTTCAAAACAAACAAACAAACAAACAAAAACCTAAGTGAAAGAAACCAATGGGAAAAGGCTGCAAGGTGTGCAATTCCAACTATATGACATTTGACATAGGCAAAACCATCGAGACAGGAAAAAGACCAGGGGTCGCCAGGAGTTGGTAGGAAGAAGGGCTTGGGAGCACAGGAGCACAGGAGGTTTTCAGGGCCGTGAGACTGCTGTGCCAGACACTGTTGTGACAGAAACACATTATAGAAGTCATAAAGTTTGGCCAGGCTTGGTAGTGGATGCCTGTAATATTAGCACTTGGGAGGCTGAGGCAGGAAGACTGCCATGAGTTGGAGGCCAGCCTCAGCTACATAGTGAGTTCAAGGCCAGCCTGAACTACATAGTGAAACCCTGTCTAAAAGAGAGAGACAGAGACAGAGAGAGAATTCCTAAGTGTACTACATCACGAATGTAAGCTATACTTATAGACTCAATGCAGACTCCTCGATTATAACAAATAGGACCCCTCGGGTGCAAGATGCTGATAACATGATCCTGTGCATGTGTTGAAGGCAGACAGCATATGGGAACTCTGTATTATTTAGATTTTTTTGTCATTGTTGTTGCTATTTTTGTAATACTAGGGACTGAACCCAGGGCCTCACACGTCAGACAAGTACTCTACCACTGATTAACATGCCAAGCTCAGTAAAGTTTGTCTTAGAAAATAAAATCTAAGCCAGGTGTAGCACCGCATGCTTGTAATCCCAGCATGAGGCCAGAGAACTGAAGGTTTAAGCCCAACATGGGCAATTTAGTGACTCAGTAAAACCCTGTCAAAAATAAAGGGTTGAGGGGGTTAGTGAAGACTCTGGGTTCAATCTCCAGTATTACAAAAAAAAAAAAAAAAAAAAAAAAAAA